GACGCTACTTGACTTCATCCTAAATTAAAGAAAGAAAAAAAAAACTTTGTCTTTCTCTTTATTTATTCCTTCCCTTTCTATCTTGCACTTATTTGAACAATGCCTGAAACTTGGTATTAGGAGCACTTCCTGTGTCTGTTTGCCTCTTTGAGAAGAATCGCTTTATGTATTCCCCAATGGTAAGTCACTTTGGATAAAAACGTCTGCAAAATGACTAAATGTAAATGTGAACCGAGCCCTTTTGTGTTATTATATGACCATAACAGTATCTCCATTAGTAATGATGTGGTTATCATCATATTCACAGTCTTGAAAAGGAAGAAAACAACAAGAGGAAACTAACTGTTAGTGTGCACAACTAAGATCAAGTTATCTGAGGTTAGTGAGTGAAAGTGTACCTGGACACCGGGGACAGCACTCTCCAGGAGGAGTGTATGCATTAGCACACCTCGGTGTCTGACATCCTGGCGAACCACATGTTGTCTGACCATCCTACACACACACACACGCACAAAATTCAGCTTTGCATCAGAGGAATAAATTACATTTTAAAATATATTACAACAGAAAATTGTTATTTCAAATTGCAATAATATTTACGAATATTACTGTTTTTACTGTATTTTTAAAACCAAAATTTAAACATTTAATAAACACTGAATCATTTCAATAGTTGCTCATACTTGCTCGTACAAACCCCGAACGCCGTTTCTGTCTGGTATTAAACATTCATAAAATGTCAAATCTTGGATTTCCAATAGCGTGTACCTGACAGGTGCACGTCTTACAGGCATCCTCCGGGTCCTTGAACGTTTGGCCGTTTTCATACAAGCGCTGATTGTATTGGCACTGCCCACAGGAGTCACCACAGCAATCTCCACCTTCATACAATTATCAACAACTAATCAACTTACTAGATTTAACTGTGACTGATGTAAGGCTAAGCAGGCAGTGTTTCATCCTCTCAGCCTGAATATTCTGTGGCTCTGTTCAAAACCTTAGTGTGATGCCTACCTAGATAGCATTTGTAAGCATTATAGGAACTTCCAGATGTTTTGAAACAGTAGGCAGTATGTGAAACGTTTTTATACCTATTTTTGTCAGTTCTGAGAATAGGACTAAGAGATTTGTTCTTATTAAAATGCAGATATTTTATACATTTTCAGATATAATTTTAAATATACTTAAAAATATAAAAATCTAATACAGATATTAAAATTAATGTGCATATAAATATTTTCCATAAGCTTTTATTTATTTTTCGATATGCTTTTACTATACATTTTTGTGATACTTACAGTACTGACTCATTAGCTTAGCAATACTCTAACTGGAGTAACTCTAATTAGAGTCTAACATCCAACTCTGAAAGTGATTCTCTCAGAGTGATTCAAATCAGTCAGGATTTGGCTAGGATGCTGTCTTACAAGGTAACTGCCTGTGTACAGTATGAAGACACAGAGACAACTCATTTGGGTTTGGAAGAGTGCCACTGTTTTTTCTCTCCGTCTTTCATATTTATTTTCTTTCTCTAACCTGGGGGATTTGGGAAGGGTGCGGGGTAGTGTTGCTTTCGTCAACGAAAATTATGACTAAATATCGTCCCACTGTTGCCAACTAATTTTCAGGGGAAGTTGCTAAAGGAAGGTCGATTTGTTGCTAAAAGTTGCTACATGACTTGGTGATGTCATTGCGTGATGACGTCATTACGTAATCACGACGCAAAATTGTGTCACTACATCAAATCTCAATAAAAAAAATATTTTTATATGTTAATTTAGATTTGTTCCTAAAATAATATAAATGCATAATATAATGTTAAAATATAAATAACTTTTTATATACAACATTGAATTATTGAACATTTACACAGTTTTGAATGATTACAAGTTTTTTTTATGAGGTTGTAAACTAGTAAAACTACACATTCTGAACAATTAAGGCCAAGACCGCAAGTGTGGGTATTTGGACAAGGGGTGAGAGTGCAAGCGCCAGGCTGGCAGCCAGACCCTTCTCTCATGGTCTCACTTCAGGGGCTGCATCAGGTCGCACTGCGCAGACGCAGGCGACGTCACTTCATCAAGCCCCACGCGGCATTATTTAGAAGACAACAACAAACAAAGTTAAGTCTGAAACTTTAAATGTTATGAGGGCAATAGCTGGTAAAGAATGGGGAGCAGAAAGATCTTCAATGATGAAAGTGTATCAAGCTTTGATTAGATCTGTATTTGATTATGGCTGCATGATATATGGTGCGGCGTCAGAGACATTGCTAAAGAAGCTAGATAGAATACAATACAGAGCACTTAGAATGTGTTTAGGAGCAGTCAAATCAACACCGGTAAATGCTTTAATCGTTGAATCGAATGAATTGCCACTGAATTTGCGCAGAGTGAAATTGTCATTGGCATATTGGACATCTATTAAAAGTTATGCTGGAGACAATATTGCTAAAGATGTTTCAAAAGACTGCTGGGAGTATGCGAGTAAAAACGGAAGAGGATTTGGGTGGGATATAAACCAGTTAGCAAAAAAATACCAGATATCTGATATAGTATGCAGTATTTCTCCATTATGGAGTGAAGTGCCCATATGGATAATACCTGAAGCAAAAATTTATCTGGAGATTTTGGACAAGAGAAAGGAATGGGAGAAAATGGGAATACTCAAACGTAATGTATATAGGCATATATCTGGAAGATTTGATTGGTAACTTATATTTCTTATTCTACTTGTTCTTATTCTGTCGTTTTAATTACAATTTTTAAAAAGCTTATAAAATATAATTTTTTAAAGAATTTGACAAAAGATGACATACTTTTAATAAAGTTAGAGGAGTCAAATATCACCTCGTAATGGGAAGGCTACTTTTTGATAAAATTTTGGATAATTGTTTAGAAGGTGCTCCTAAAATTTTGAACGTGCTCCTAAATTTTTTAAGTTAGGAGCACAAGTGCTCCTAAAAAGAAAAGTAAGCGTAGAGCCCTGTACTATATTGACTGGGTTAAATAGAATTGTATTTCTAAAATGAGACTAAAATACAATTTTCATTGACTAAAACTAGACTAAATGTCATCAGTTTTCGTCGACTAAAACTAGACGAAAATAGTCATGGATAATTCTGACTAAAATAAGACTAAAATGCTCAGACTTTTAGTTGACTGAAACTTGACTAGACTAAAAAGAGAATGAACGTGACTAAAACTAATAAAAACTAAAATGACAGCTTCACACAAAGACTAGACTAAAACTAAAATTAAAACAGGCCGCCAAAAACAACACTAGTGCGGGGGTCGGTTTGGGACAGTCCAAGCCCCTTTTAGGCCTACTACACGTCACCTGTCCACCCACACAAGAACATGTTTGGCCAGCGTCAGTCCATGTGGCTCCTTCTTCATATTGAACACCATTCCAAGTACATCCTACATACATGGACACAGAATGCAATGAACACATATACACTACTGTTCAAAAGTTTGGAGTCAGTAATATTTTTTTATGTCTTTAGGGCTATCATGATATCAGATTTTTCACCACACAATTACCATGGCCAAAAGAACTTTGCAATGTCACTTTATCACTCCTATGAGTCTCCCTTGTGGACTTTCTGTGTGAGGGCGCCCTCCGGCGTCGAGTATGAATGAAACATAAATGACATGTATTTGACGCTGTGTAAAACAGTAATATTGTGAAATATTATTACAATTTAAAATAATTGTTTTCAATTTGAATAGTGTGCAGGTGTTCATGATTTCAGCGTTCAAAGTTGCCCAGTAAAGACTAGGAGTAACAATTAGTGCTTAAATAGGGTAAATAAAACTGTGTTGTGGGATCGTTTTAGTTACAAACTTTTTGTGAATTTGAATTAGTGGTTTTTGAAGTCCATTTCGAACCTGCAGAATTTTGTGGTAATTTCGTATAGCGGCCAAATTTAGGTTATATTCTGCTAAGTCGGTCTTTGGTAAGGGGTTATTCTTATGGTTCAGTTGCTTACACAGCTTTTGGATTAAGCCTATGATTAAAAGTGTAGAAATGGAATCAGTAGTAGATATTTTTTGAGAGTCTCCGTCGGAAGAACTGCTTCTATCGTACACAAAAGATTACTCCCATACACAAAAAACTGTTATAAATAGCTAGGCATAGCAATTTAAAACAGACCCTGCATAATGTCCTGAAAGGCAGCCTTATTGAGTTGGGCATTTTACCAATGCCCTACCACTAGTGTGGTAGAAGAAGTGGCTGATCCTGCAAATGCCATTAGGTTAAAAGAACTGGCACTAAGAGAAAAACAAATCGATTTAGAAACGGCAAAACTAGAGTTACGAAAGCATAAATTCGACCATCAGTTTGCTTTAAAACAGATGGAGTTAGAAATGAGCATCAAGGCTGCTGCCCCTGCCCCTAGTGAATTGGATGTTGGCTGAAACCGGAAGGATGGTTCATCCTTTCTGTGAAAAGGACGTTGAAAAATATTTGTCATTTCAAAAGGGTTGCCTTTTCTTTAAAGTCGCCTGAAAATGTTTGGTCATTGCTACTACAATGTGTGATTACTGATTCACACTAATTTTAATGCATAAAGTCGCATTTAAAGAGAAATCATGGGATAGAACTCCTGCTGTTCCACCTGTTCTGGCCTCTCAAAAGTCGACCAGCAATAAGCCTATTGTTATGTCTGGTGACAGCGTGTGTTTTTATTGTAAAGCTTCTAGTCATTTGATTGCAAATTGTCCCACTCTTTAAAAGAATTTTAACCCAAAACCTGTTGGGTTCATTTCGGGTAACCTTCGGGTAACTTCCGTTCAAATCCTGCTGATAATACTTCTGACAGCGCTATTCACTCCGACAAGACCGGTTATGGACCTTTCCTGCAAAGTGGAACTGTGTTTGTTCCCAGTCTGAATAAGCCTGTGCCTGTTCAAATTCTCTGTGACACTGGAGCAGCACTATTGTTTATTTTTAGAGGGGGTCCTGCCATTGTCTGAGGAGACTGGTACCGGCAGCGCTGTCTTAGTCTGAGGTTATGAAATGGGAGTTATGGTGGTTCCGTTACACATTTGAAATCTGAATTGGTGACAGGTGACGTGGTAGTGGGTGTTCGTCCATCTCTTCCAATTCCTGACGTAACCTTCATTTTAGGAGGACTGTGCCTTGAAGTACCCCAATTGTTTCTCGGCATGTGCGGTTACATGCTTTATGGCCAAATCTGCTGATACTTCTATTTCAGATTAGGTGCATTTGTATGACATATTCACTGCAAATCCTAAACTATCCGAATTTTCTTCTGTTGCCCCACAGAAAAAACCTTGAGTGCAAAAAAGAAGGTTTTCAAAGATCGCACAGACTTGGCCATGTCTCCTGATAAATGAATCGCTGCTCAAAGATCAGATTCTACTCTTGCTCCATTGTTTGAATTAATTCGTCCAGAACAGGAGAATGTTGGGTCTTCACAGGTATTCTTTCTCAAAGATGCTATATTGATGAGAAAGTGGGCACCCTCCAATTCTCTTGGTGATACGGTTAGTCAAATTGTGGTTGCAGAAATCTACCGAGACTGATTTTGAATGTGGCACATAATGGTCTAGCTGGTCATTTTGGTGTTGTAGAAACATATGATCAAATTTTGCAAAGTTTTTATTGGCCTGGTCTGAAGAGAGATGTTTCCCGCTATTGTCAAACTTGTCACATTGGTCAAATGGTAGGAAAGCCAAATCAAACTATTCAACCTGCCCCACTTTATGATCATATTACCCCAATTTTACAGTCTCTGCACTGGCATAAGCTACCACTAAATATTGTAGAAACTTAATTTGCTGTAAAGTTGCTTTGCAATGATTTGTATCATGAAAAGCGCTGTACAAATAAACTTGAAACTTGAAACTTTACCCAAATTACGATGGTGTCTGAACTATTTGAGCACATAATAATTGATTGCGTTGGATCTCTTTCATGTTCAAAGTCTGGGTATAAATACCTGCTTGCGGCGACACGTTTTCCTGAGGAAATCCCTATACCATTATAGCAAGAGCGATTTCTAAAGCACTTAAGTTTGTCACACTTTTCAGTTGATCCAAACTGACCAGGGAACGAATTTTACATCTCGTACGTTTTCTAAAGTGCTTAAACGTCTCCATTTTAAGCATAATGTGTCTGCTGCTTGTCACTCTGTAAGTCAGGATGCATTAGAGAGGTTTTACCAGACACTTAAGTCTATGCTTCACGCTTATTGTTTTGAAGTTGAAGTGACGTGAAGTGACGTGAAATGTGGCCAAGTATGGTGACCCATACTCGGAATTAGTGCTCTGCATTTATCCCATCCAAAGTGAATGGGATAAACATAAATGACATGTATTTGACGCTGTGTAAAACAGTAATATTGTGAAATATTATTACAATTTAAAATAATTGTTTCACACACACAGCAGTGAACACACACACCGTGAACACACACCCGAAGCAGTGGGCAGCCATTTTTGCTGCGGCGCCCGGGGAGCAGTTGGGGGTTCGGTGCCTTGCTGAGGTGCCCTTGAGCAAGGCACCGAACCCCCAACTGCTCCCCGGGCGCTGCAGCAAAAATGGCTGCCCACTGCTCTACAACCTTTGGGTTACGAGTCCGACTCTCCAACCATTAGGCCACAACTTCCCCGTAAACGAGACGGGGAAGAAGGAGTTCCATAGTTACTTTTTGCCTCACGTGAAGTGGTACAAGAATCATTTAGGTTTATTCCTGCCAAACTGGTTTTGGACCACACTCCGCTGCAAGCTTGCTATAGTGGTCCTTACGATTATGTTATAGCCTACATACTCCTGATTGCCGTCAAAGTTCCTGAGTTTATCATGTTAATATGATAAAGGCCTACCATGAGAGAAAACCGGGTGCTGAATAGTCAGCCACGTGAGGTGTCTGCTGTAGGGCTGTTCGCCCACGAACAGGTAGACGAAGTGGTAGAGATAGGACCTTCCAGGTGCACAGCTGAAGGAAGACTAAAATATTCTGAGATGGTCGGCGTTGATAGCCTTGTGGGCAACACGACGAAATATAGCGCCGTTACGCTATGGGTGCCCCAAGGTTCGAATCCCTGCTCGAGGACCTTTCCCGATCCCGCCCCCTCCCTCTCTCACTTCACTTCCTGTCAGCTCTACACTGTCCTATGATAATAAAGGCAAAAATGCCAAAAAATAAAACTTTGTCCAAACAGTTGCTGAATTTATCTCCAAATGAGAAAGCTGATATTCTAGAGTCAGTGAGTCAGTTTCTGACTTTGTTCAGTGAATTCCTCGGTCAGACGTCGGTCATTGTGCACGATACTGATGTGGGGTCCACTCAACCTATAAAACCGCACCCATATCATATCAAGAATAGCATCGACATCAGCAATTGTTTTCCCTTCCACCATGTTTAAAGTGTATGCCCCGCACAACTCGGAAATTCGAGTATCAAAATAATGCTGCATTCACACCATATCGTAATTACTGTAATTTCGAAATGACAACACATGACGTTCTACTTGAAGCGGTTCACACCCTTGGACTATCGCACTATCAATGCCTAAACATTTCGCCTAATGAATCTGAGGTGGTCAGGTGGTACCACCTGAGTTGTAGCTATCAGAAAACTCCCAGTTCACAAGTTGTAATTACGAGTTCTACGAGGGCGTGAATGCTTTACAAGTTGGTATATCGTAATTACGTTAATCATGATATGGCGTGAATGCACCTTAATCTCCGAGTTTCCCAGCAGTAAATATGACTAGAGAGGCTGTTCATGTCCATTGTCTAATTCAGGGGTGGGCAAACTTGGCCCTTCCAGGTCACTTTCCTTCAGAGTTTAGCTCCAACTCTAATCAAACACACCTGAACCAGCTAATCATTGTCTTCAAGACTACTAGTAAGCTACAGGCAGGTGAGTTTTATCAGGGTTGGATTAAATCTCTGCAGGGAAGTGGCCTACATAATTTCGTACAACCTCGACATTAGTTACGTTCGAGGCAAAGACAACGTGGTAGCTGATGCCCTATTCAGGATGGGGTAGGTGCATACTGCATAGGTAGGTGTACCGAAAAAAAAATGGAAGTGTTTTGTTTTCTGTGTTTGTGTCGTCTTATGAGCAGATCCCCTACACCTGTGGACCGTATGAGCGTGGCTATAAGAAATCCCGTTGCCACATCAGGGCAGCGGGATTTTCAGCGGTGGTCGAGTTGCGCTCCCCTTTGTTTTGTTTTCTGTTTACCCGACTGTTTTCCTCCCCATCTTATGTTGTTTTTGCTTTGAAGTAAATTCCCCAATTGAACTGAGCCCTTTTGTGTTATGGCTGTGACCGTAACAGTATCTCCATTAGTAATTATGTGGTTATCATCATATTCACAGTCTTGAAAAGGAAGAAAACAACAAGAGGAAACTAACGGTTAGTGTGCACAACTAAGATCAAGTTATCTTCTGACGTTAGTGAGTGAAAGTGTACCTGGACACCGGGGACAGCACTCTCCAGGAGGAGTGTATGCATTAGCACACCTCGGTTGGGGACATGCAGGCGAAACACATGTTGTCTGACCATCCTACACACACACACGTTCATGTAAACAAATTAGCTGATAAAACTGACAGTACTTGTCAAAAGTTTGTAAACATTACTTTTTTAAAAATGTTTTTAATCAGCATATTACAATGATTTCTGAAGAATCATGTTACACTGAAAACTGGAGTAATGATGCTGAAAATTCAGCTTTGCATCAGAGGAATAAATTACATTTTAAAATATATTACAACAGAAAATTGTTATTTCAAATTGCAATAATATTTACTAATATTACTGTTTTTACTGTATTTTTAATTAAATAAATTCAGCCTTGGTGACTGCAAGATACTTCATTAAAACCAAAATGTTAAACATTTAATAAACACTGAAACATTTAAATAGTTGCTCATACTTGCTCATACAAACCCTAAAGCCCGTTTCTGTCGGTAGGGTTACGTCACGGACACTACGTCCATATTTTTATACAGTCTATGGTTTTTATACCTATTTTTGTCAGTTCTGAGAATAGGACTAAGAAATTTGTTCTTATTAAAATGCAGATATTTTATACATTTTCGGATATAAATTTAAATATACTTAAAAATATTAAAATATAATACAGATATTAAAATAAATGTGCATACAAATATTTTCCATAAGATTTTATTTATTTTTTTACATGCTTTTACTATACATTTTTGTGATACTTACAGCACTGACTCATTAGCTTAGCAATAATCTAACTGGAGTAACTCTAATTAGAGTCTAACATCCAACTGTGAAAGTGTTTCTCTCAGAGTGATTCAAATCAGTCAGGATTTGGCTAGGATGCTGTCTTACAAGGTAACTGCCTATGTACAGTATGAAGACACAGAGACAACTCATTTGGGTTTGGAACAGTGCCTCTGTCTCTTTTTGTGTCTCTTTCTACATTTTCTTTCTCTTACCTGGGGGATTTTGGAAGGGTGCGGGGGTCGGTTTGGGACAGTCCGAGCCCCTTTTAGGCCTACTACACGTCACCTGTCCACCCACACAAGAACATGTTTGGCCAGCGTCAGTCCATGTGGCTCCTTCTTCATATTGAACACCATTCCAAGTACATCCTACATACATGGACACAGAATGCAATGAACACATATACACTACTGTTCAAAAGCTTGGAGTTGGTAAGATATTTTAAATATCTTTAGGGCTGTCATGATATCAATTTTTTCACCACACAATTACCATGGCCAAAAGAATGAACAATAACGATATATTATTAAAAATAACAAAAATGTATATAATAAATATAGTATATAATAAATTATATATATTGTTTATATAAATAAATATATATAATATATAAATGTAAATTATATTAATAATAATTTATATTAATAATAATGTATACTGTATATGAGTATTTGAATGTTCTTCTGTGAACTGCTGTGTTCTTATCACAGAATGCGGCAGAAATTAAACTATTTTATAGAAGTCTATTCAGTGATAAAGACTGTGTCAGTTAGCATTACATTTTAAATATACATAATCCTTATGAATAATAACAGAGATGGATTGAAGAACACAGATAAACCATATACTGTTGCAATCATATGTTAATTCTGTTCACATTTCATCAGTCATAACATTTCTTTCTGCATTTTATTCAGCTACAGCCATAGCTGGATGCCATTGTCCATATAAGGGATTTCCTGGAAAGTAATTTGTTTTATCACTCCTATGAGTCTTGCTTGTGGACTTTCTGTATGAGGGCGCCCTCCGGGGTCGAGTATGAATGAAACATAAATGACGTGTTTGACTGGTGTCTACTTCTCATTTTGAAATGTGACCCTGGACCACAAAACCAGTCATAAGGGTCAATTTTTTTATTTACACATTATTACATAATCTAAAAGCTGAATGAATAAGCTTTCCATTGATGTATGGTTTGTTATGATAGGACATCTGACGGTGCAAAAAAATCAAAATATTGAGAAAATCGCCTTTAAAGTTGTCCAAATGAAGTTCTTAGCAATGCATATTACTTATCAAAAATTAAGTTTTGATATATTTATGAGTATAAATATAAGAAACATTTATTATCATCCAGTCGTTCTGCTTAATATTTTTCATACATTTTTCAGGATTCTTTGATGAATAGAAAGCTCAAAAGAACAGCATTTATTTGAAAAAAATCTTTTGTAACAATATAAATGTCAATATAAAATGTCACTTTTAAACATTTTAAAGGATTAATTTCTTTCAAAAACAAATTATTGACCCCAAACATTTGAATGATACTGTATGAGAGAATGCGTTTCATGTTAAAGTTAGTGGCAGCAGTATGTACTGCAGAATGTCTTACCGCTGCACACTGGACAGCAGGTGTTAGGAGGGGCTGGATTGGGAACGGCACAGCTCAAAAGTGAGCATCTTTCCTGATGACATCTCACGTTACCATTCTAACAAAAAAAAACCAATAGAATGTTACACAAGAATCAATGACTTAAGTGACGTCAAACCTCAGTTTTTGTCATGTTCCTGAGATGAAGTCAATACAAGACTTCATAAAAATACATAGTGCACGAATCATATGGAATTGTCCTTTTTGGACAAATTATTATTATTTTTTTTTAAATATTCTTTTAATTTACTTAAAATTTTGTCATGTCATATTCGGCAATTTTAGCAAATAATGCTATATCATTTTAAGTCAACATTTTATTTTATGCAAAATAAAACAAATATTTTAACATTTTATTTATAAATTTAAACATGTCAACTTTATCTTTAATTAAATTGAAAAAAAATATTGTCGAAATCACTGACAAAATAAAAAAACAACCATTTTCATCAGTAATTTCATTGATTATCCTTGCTTGAAACTGAATAGACAGTAGCTCTTTTCACTCGATGGGCCCTATCATACACCTGGCGCAATGCGGCGCAAGGCGCGGCGCAAGTGTTTTTGCTAGTTTCAGCCCGACGCAGTTCTCATTTTCCCGTCCTGCGCCGCGTTGTTTAAATAGCAAATGCATTTGCGCCCATTTGTGCGCCCATGGGCGTGCTGGTCTGAAAACTAGGTGTGTTCAGGCGCATTGTTGGCGCGTTGCTATTTTGAGGAACTGAAAATAGACTGCGCCATAGACCAACTCAAACCTGGTCTAAAGTCTGGCACAAAATATTTTTTCTTTGTTATTTAAAGAGCGCGTTAGTAATATGCGCCTATAGGCGGGTGCACAACGGGTGTACACTTTGCTTATTACACACACAGGGACGCGCAGCAGCACACAAACATTTTTAAAAATGAAAAATTACATTCCACCATGTAAATAGCGAATCCGCCATGGCGCGAGCG